TGGATGAGCCGAGTGTGTGACATGTTTCCCAATAATGTCGGATCATATCAAGCAGCACGATGTTGATGTTTGCTTGCTGCTGGGTATCGTATCGTATCATGTCTTACACACATCCATCCAGCACAAGACACGCGCCACTAATTGGCATTACTTTCACATCAGTGGGAAGAAGGTCGACCTGAAAATACTTGTGTATCTCTCAACTTTCTCTTAAGAATGAAGGTCTCCCAGCGTATGCTCTCCGATTTTTGGGCAAACTAGTGTGTCAATCGAGGACAAATTTGATTAGGATGAAATTTGGGAAAGACAGGATCTCCCAATGGGCACGTTTGGCAGAGGAATTTGCATCCGAAGAGGAGAAAACGCGTGGAAAAGTTGGAAAGTCTAGAATTTTTCGACTTTACAGTGTGTTTTCTCCTCTTAGGATGAAAATATCTGAACTGAACAGAAATCTCTCTTAAACATTTTGTAAAACTCATCTTGAATGAATTAAAAGTAATGAAAAACATGAAGTTAGTAATTTTGACGTTGAAGTATATCAACAAAGATTTTTTTTAATGAAGATAAAGGTTAAATATTCATAAATATTTATTTACAAGGAACCTCTTCCAGCGTATGCTCTCCGATTTTGGTTAAATTAGGAAAAATTTAATAAGTATGAAATTTGCAAAAGACATGATCTCCCAAGGGCTCGTTTTGCCAAGATATTTACATTTGAAGAGGAGAAAACGCGTAGTAAAGTCGACAAATTTTACAACTTTCCAACTTTACTGCACGTTTTCTCCTACTCGGATGCAAATATCTCTGCCTCACGAGCTAACTGGGAGGTCGTGTCTTTCGATTGACTGTAGTTTGCTTAAAATCTGAGACTTTACGCTGGGAGAGATCCATTACAAATAAGAATTTAGGAATATTTAACCTTAATCTTGACTATAATTTTTTTAGATACTTCAAAGTCATACATAAATATCAATTTTGTGTATCTCATTATATGAAATTGCGTGTAGATTAGTAATATTAATTTGTTTTCAGAAATGTTAATTTGCCAAGAAATTTGCATTCCAAGATGTGAAAACGCTTAGAAAATTTGGAAAGTATCAAATTTGTCGTCTTTTTGGGCGCGTTTTCTCCTCTTTGGATGCAAATATCTCTGCCAAACGTGCCCATTGGGAGATCGTGTCTTTCGCAAATTTCATGCTAACTAAATCATACCTGTTCAAAAAAAACTTTTTTCATTCAAAGTTCAATCATCTCGATTTCTGACTGAATATTTTCATTCACACTCAGTCATTTCATTTCACTTCACTTCATCGGACTTCATTTCTTACTTCGCCCCATGTATTAAGCATAGGGTGAAAAATGAAATGAGTGAGAAATCCTTTAATTCACAGTCATTCATCTGAAATGATAGAATCCTTCACTCATTTTCATTCAAATCACAGGAAATTCATTGTCATTCACCATCATTCTTTATCATAATCAGTCACATGAATGAAAGTGAACAGGTATGAACTAAATTCACACTAATTTGCCCAAAATCGGATCGCATACGCCGGGATATGTCCGATTTGTCCGAAAAAATTCGTACATTTCTATCCTACTTTCTCTTCCCTACACGTGCTCCCCGCTTTCTCTTTGGATAAGTCAATCACTCAGAAATCAGGAATGTCACACGTACACCCGAACCACACCACAGCACAAGTTCCGATTCCGCTTTCCGACCTGATGATAAAGTTGTTCATTTGTCTCGGGATTAAAATTGCGGGATACAATTTTCTCTCCTCTAATGACTAATTGTGTTCCCACAAAAGCCACAATTAATGAGAGCTAAAACAACTGCCGGAGGAGGATCGGAACATTGCACGGATTATTTTGCATTCGGGGAAGGAAATGAAATTATCGTCTGGTGGTTTGGTTGGGGCAGTCAGTGGCCGCGGAAGCCGTGAGGACATCGGGGGACGTTAACATTGTAGGATGGGGGGAGGGAGGGGTTTATATAACATGGGCAGATGATGCGGACATCGACCAACCGTGGGGACATTGTCCCTCTGTCCACACCCATGCTTCCGCGGCCACTGGGTATGTATACTATACACAGAGAAAAGAGCGGATGTCGTCACTGAAATCTGCAGCAAAATATTTGCTCGTTATTTTCCTACGGCTGTGAATGAATGAAACGAAATGAAATCAAGGCTCGCCTTCTGCTGGGAATGAGGGAAAGGCGACCAGGGTTTCGCTTCTGGAGGGAGCGCTGCGTAAATTTCTTGCACTGCAAAGTAATAAACTGAAAGAAATTGTATGAAATGCAAGGTTCGTAAAACTGCAAGAAACTGTGCTAAACAGCATAAAATTTCAAAAAACTTCAAGAAATTATAAGAACCATGCGCCGTCTAGCCACGCGCCTTGCAAGGTGCAAAAAACTGCAAGGAACGCTACAAGTTACAAAAACTTGCAAGAAATTGCAAGAAATGCAAAGTACAACAAAGTCGGAGAAACTTGTGTAATCTAGCTAAGCGCGGTTTAAACTATAGCGGCGAGCGCGTAGTTTCTTGCACCTTGCATTTCTCCCAGGTCGAAATATTCCCCTGCAAGAAACCACTTTTTCCCCCTTATTTCTTGCATGTCGTTACTTTACTTTCACCCGAAACACTGTTAGCGAGTATGTATCTGCATTATAATGATTTTGCGTATACTTTCTCCCAGTTTGTGCATGCATGCTTGCGGTTCTCTCTCTCTCGCTGCCTTTCCTCACTGGCTGCTGCTGCTGCGGTTGATGGAAATTGTCCCATTCCGCACTAATTATTGCATACACAGAATGCGGCATGATGCCACCGCTCAGAAATTAAAATTGATTACGGAATAGTTTTAAATAACGAGAAGTGTGTTCATCTTCTCGTCGGAGCGATGCACTTGAATAGATTAGATGAATATGGTGAAGCATTGGCCGCGGAAGGGTGGGTGTGGACAGAGGGGCAATGTCCCCAGGGTTGTACCCATTATCTGCCCATCTGATACAAGCCTCTCCCTTCCATATCCTACAATGTTAACGTCCCCACATGTCCATACCTGTTCACTTTCATTCATTTGGCTATTCAATTTCAATATTCAATTTATTAGCATTTGATATGGCCATGAGCCCTCATCAATAGAAATTACAGAGCTAGATATGTAAATGTATTTGGCTGACTATGATAGCGAATGAAAATGAAGTTCCTGTGATTTGAATGACAATGAATTTCCTGTGATTTGAATGAAAATGAATTTCCTGTGATTTGAATGAAAATGAATGAAGATTTTCGTCATTTCAGATGAATGACTGTGAATGAAAAGATTTTTCACTCTTTTCATTTTTCACCCTAAGCTTAATACATGGGGCGAAGTAAGAAATGAAGTCAGATGAAGTGAAATGAAATGAATTTGAACGAAAATGACTGAACATGAATGAAAATCTTCACTCAGAAATCGGGATGACTGAGTTTTGAATCAAAACTAAATTTTTGAACAAGTATACATATATGTCCCCACCGCTTCCGCTCTCACTGTTTTAAGGCGAGACGAGACGACTGAATAGAAAACTCGAGTCTGAAGTCTCGAGTGGAATGGGGTGCAAAATATGTATGTTTGGAAAATCCACATAATTGAATAACAGTGGTCGATGGATGGATCGCATGGATTAAAAACAGGATGATGACGGTTGTAAATTCAATTCAGCGTACTTTCCACGAACCATGGAGGTCCCCCAGCGTATGCTCGCAGATTTTGAGCAAGTTAGTCTGAATCGATCACAAATTTGATTAGGATGAAATTTGCGAAAAACACGATCTCCCAATGGGCACGTTTGGCTCAGATATTTGCATCCGAAGAGGAGAAAATGTGTGGTAAATTTGTACAGTGCAAAATTTTTCGACTTTAAGACGAGTTTTCTCCTCTCTTCGGATGCAGATGTCTGAACTATTTTTTTTATTAAAATTTCTGAGAACCTGTATAGTCGATTATCTTTATTAACTTCGGCGTAATGAGACCCACAAAAATTACAATATTGGCGTTGTAACATCTCAACTAAACAAAGAATGTTAAGATTAATGTTAATTAATGTTAAATATTCTTACAAATATTTACAATGGAGCTCTCCCAGCGTACGCTCTCCAATTATTTTAACGAAACAAATGGGCACTTTTGATAGAGATAGCTGAATCCGAAGAGGTGAAAATGCTTGGAAAATTTGGAAAGTGTAAAATTTTTCAACTTTAGGGCTCGTTTTCTTCTCTTCGGATGCAAATATCCCAACTATTGCCAAATTAAACCTTCTGATAACGTCCTATCTCACCTGAAATCTTGAATGAATTGTAGACAATGAGAAACCCAAAATTAATAATATTGACGTTGAAGCATCACAAAATTTTATAATTAAGTTGAAGGTTAATTGTTCCTACATATTTATGTACAATGGAGCTCTCCCAGCGTACGCACTCCGATTTTTATTGACGAAACGACCTCCGAATGGGTACGTTTGGCAGGAATATTTGCATCCGAAGAGGAGAAAACGCCCAGTAAAGAAGTCGACAAATTTTACACTTTCCAAATTTACTTCGCGCTTTCTCCTCTTGGAATGCAAATTTGGAAAATGCAAAATTTCTCGACTTTAAGGCGCAATTTCTCTTCTTTGGGTGCAACCATCCCTGCCAAACGTGCCCATTAGGAGATCGTGTCTTTTGCAAATTTCATCCTAATCAAATTTGTCATCGACTAACACTAATTTTCCCAAAATCGTAGAGCATCCGCTGGGAGACTTCCCTTGTGGGTGTAAAATAATAATAATTTACAAACCAAAACTTTCCCATTTTGCATAAATACGTTCCGAGGAACAAATCAAATCAAATTCTATCCAATCAAGTCCACCCACGTATTATTTCTTCTCCCGCTTAAATAAATACTTGGAGGGAAATAACAAGCTCAATTTTTGAATATTCATCACTTTCACTTGCTCCCTTTCTACGTAGGTTTTGCAAGAAATGGTCAAAAGTGAGGATTCCATTGCCCAATTGAGATCAGCCCTTCGCGTGGATCCGCTCGAAGCTGGGATGCGTCTGGCTCAAACGCGTCTTTATAATAGGACGTTTCGACCGTGTGAGGAGATGACGAGGGATGTGGCGCAGTTTAAGTAAGAAAAATTTGGTTTCCTGAAAAAAATAGGGGGGAAATAAATTTCTGAAATTTGAGAATGTTTCGTTTCTTGTACTGCAAAGCAAAAAAAAAACAAGAAATTGAAGGTGCAAGAAACTGGGAGAAAGTGCAAGAAATGAGCCACGCGCCGTTTAAACTATAGTTGCTGGACGTAGTTTTTTTGTGCCGTGCATTTCTTGCAGGTCAAAATACCTTCAAAATCCCACTTTTTTGCCTATATTTCTTGCACTGCATAAGAATAAATGGATGAAATTTAAGGTGCAAGGAACGCAAGAAATTGGCACGAAATGCGCAATTTAAGGGCCAAATGCGCTATGTTTTTTTTGCGCGTGCATTTTTTTCATATCGAAATGCCTGCAAAAACCCATTTTCTTGCAGTTATTTTTTGCAAGTGGTTAATTTTTGCACCCGAAACACTAAATAAATTTATACCATTTCAGATTGATCAACGAAGTTCAGGAGCTCAACGTGTCGCGGGACGCGCTACAAGCGCAAGTTTCCCAGGGGGAGGGTGCCCTCCAAGTCTTGCGCGGAATCAGGATCGGTCTAGAGAAAGAGATCGCGGTCAAAGATCACAGCATCGTCGTGGATAAAGAGAGATGCCTCACGGTTCGGGGATTATATCCCAGTTTAACCGTACTAATGGGAAAGTAAATAAGCGTTTGAAACGAAATGTAGGAAAGGGGTGAAACCACACGGAATTGTAAAAAGCGTGTCGATTTCTGACATCCTCGCACCAAATGAAACGAAAAATTCGACATCTTTGACCTTTGACCTCATTACCGTGACCAGGGTTCGGAAAAACCCAGGGTTTTAATCAAAAATTATAAAACCCATGGGTTTTAATGGGTTTTACCATGTTAATTGGGTTTTATTTGGGTTTTAATGGGTTTTAATGGGTTTTATTGGGTTTAAATGGGTTTTATAGGGTTTTATTAGTTTTAAGTAATAACTTAACAAAAATAATTAGGAATTTGTATCTATTCGGAAATTATTTTGTTTTATAACACTTGAAATCTGTGATGCTAAAGGATGGAGTCAATTATTGAATTGTTCCGAATTTTCATATATTAGAATAGTAATGAAATAAACTGCTTTAGAATGAATTGAGATAACGTCTTCTAACGTATAGGAGATGTATTTAACTTTTAGAATGTAGTTTTTAAGTAAAACTCAATTAAAACCCAATAAAACCCATTAAAACCCAAATAAAACCCACTTAACATGGTAAAACCCACTGGGTTTTATTCATTTACAACCCATTAAAACCCATTAAAACCCAATAAAACCCAACCCATTAAAACCCAGGTCGGAATACCCTGACCGTGACCTTATGACCTAAAACGCACATCTTTGAACTTGTCCGTACTTTAAAAATTAGAAACTCATTGGCGAAAATCGCATGTCGAAATTCGTATCCGTTCTAAAGTTATCGTGTATATAGACGGACATATGGACGGACGGACGGACAGACAGACAGACAGACACATGGACGGACGGACGGATAGACAGACATATTGACGGATAGACAGACATACGGACGGACGGACAAACGGACAGACACAGATACGGACACATGGACAAACCGACAATCCATTCCCATAAAGTGCTTTGCTTTTCACCCCTTAATAAGCGTAAATAATACCTCCACGTGTTACGCCTTAGTACGAATAATAATTCCGAGAAAGGCACGTCCTCAGTTTGACATTTGCTGTCCAACTCACCGTGTAAATATTTCTGTGAAATTGTACCCCCTTTGAAAAATAAAGATTGTTTTTGATGTTCAAATTTAATCTGACGAGGCCAAGTTCCTGCCGTCTTGGCTTAGAGGCTTGACCATCAGTGTCATGACTCAAAAAGCCGAGAGTTCGATTCCTCTTGAGTTGTATTATGCAGCAAAAAGTGTGGAACGAACTGGTATGGAAATACAAATTACTGTTCGGTGCTATGCAGATAATCTGCATAGGATTGTCTGGCCAAATCCTAAGATAGTTTGAATATCTCCTTATTTACATCCTATCCTGTTTCACCGTCCACCCCAATTTTCAATTTCAATAATTACTCCCTTTCCTCTACAGTACCTATCCTAGTAAACCTGACATGCCAGCCCTAACTATACCTTTCCTTGTAGTTGTTGATGTCAGTATCTATCCCTGTCTTGGTATTGGAAACGATGTGGCTCACATATCATATACCGCAGACGTAAAAGATTGAACAGAACAGAACAGAACAGAAGTTCCGGTCAGCAATTGAATTCGGAGAGAGGTTTTTCCACCGTATTTTTAGATTTCTCTCTCTTTCTCACTGTGTGTTTTGCACTTGAATTGAATGATTGGACTGAATGTGACATGTTCCTTCGGATCGTTTGGTCTGCAAATAAACGGACATTGGACGGAACTCGTGGCGAGCGTGGTGTGTGGTGTGGGCGACCGTCTACCGTCATGATGCTTTCTGACATCGGGTGAAAGTTTGCAAAACTTTAGGTAACCATGCGTGGCTGCGTTATGCTTTATGCAGGGTTCATACTTACAAAAGCAGTGATTTTTATTTTATAAATTCATACATACATAAATACTTTTTCGTGACAAATTGATTCAGAAATTTTCTGAATCAGAAACGTTAACTATTTATCACGAAATTTAATTATGAAGAAAAATATGATGTTTTTTTCTGTATTTCATTCATGCAACAATTATTGTAACACGTTTTAACAAATGCATTTCTATATTCAAAATGTATGTATATTGCTGATTTTTTACCATAGGGCTCGATAGCTCATCGTCAAGAATTTTAAATCATTTCTCGCCTCTGGTATTTATTTAAAGATTCTGGACGACGAATTTGTAGAGCAAGTCGTTCCCAATTTTAAAAAAATATATACTCCAGATTTCGACACTTTTTGAAGGATAAGAAATCTTCGGAAAAATTGGAACTCGTCGAAACTGGCTCAAAAAACTCGACGCCATTCCATCAATCAACTCACCGACTACAAATTCGTCATCCAGAATTTTAAAATAAGTTCCCAGAGGCAAGAAATGATCTAAAATGTGTGCAAATTTTGACAATTTTACGATAAGTCGAAAAATATTGCGTACAATGTAAAAAAACAAGGTCTCATTGTGAACCCTGCTTTCACCACTGCATCGCAACTGTCACATAGTAGATTGTCACTCAAACTAAACTAAAGTTTTATCCGGCACGAGGAAATATTTGCGGTTGGAATTATTCTATCTCGGGTCACACAAAATGGCAAGTTAATGCGGTCGCAAAACACGTAAATGCACACGTGACGTGTTGTGTAGCTGGATTTTGTTGGGATATTATTGCACTTTGTTGAGCATTACATACGTTTACTGGGTTCAAATCAAGGGTGAAGTGGCCGCGGAAGCTGTGGGGAGATGTGGGGACATTAACATTGTAGGATAGGGGAGGGAGGGGTTTGTATAAGATGGGCAGACGATGCGGACATCGAACAACCGTGGGGACCTTGTCCCTCTGTCCCCACATCCACGCTTCCGCGGCCACTGCACGGATGAAGCGAAGTTTTGACCTGACCTTCATACTTGACAGGGTAAGGATTACACCTTTTTGAACCTGGCAAAACTCGATCTCATCAAGATTTGCACCTATGAATGCATCCTGTCGTATGAAGTACTTGCTTTGATGTCCACTCCACTTTTATGGTGTCCACGAGCAAGGATAAATTGTCGGGGGCGAGTGAAAGCCACATTCCACTCGTCAACTTTCCCCGGGAGGATTAATCAATTTGACCGTGGTGACAAAAAGTGTGGGTCCGTTTTAAATAACGATTTGTCCAGTGTTTCGTTTTGGTCTAGGCATACCAGTTCAAAAAAATTCTCCTATTCATTTTGAGCATTTGGTTTGAGACATGGTATAGAAAATTTCTCAAAGAAAACATGGTAAGTCAGAAGTTTTCTAAAAATCGTGAACAATCACGATTTTTTTAAATAATGTGAGATTACATGCCAAAAGACTCAATGCTGAAGGACTTATAGCATTTTGCCACATTTTCTATTTTGAGCAGTTTTGACGTCCAAAATTTTTTGCCCAAAACTGGTAAAAAACTAGTTAAATTAATACGAGATTACACATATTTATATACTTATGTTAAAGGATTATAGAAAAATTAAATGATGAAGAACTAAAATTTTTTTTAGTAGCATTTGCCTCAGTTTTTATTTTGGACAATTTTGGAGACTTTGAACGTCCAAAATTTGTTGTTCAAAACTTGTTAGACCCGTTTTAATTAATACGAGATTATATACATATTCATATGTGTTAACGGATAAACGACAGATCTTCATATCATAGCATTTTCCCCTATTTTTATATTTTGGACACTTTGGGATGTCCAAAATTCGGTGTCAAGGTTAAAACCGGATTTTTACCAGACCGAAACCCTGGATTTGCCCCTCACCCGCCACATTAATACTTGATCCACCTGCAATGGGTAGGAACTGCATGAAAGTGACCTATTTTCCATTATCTCACCCTAACCACCCTTCCGCCCACCGACGGCCATCCGGCGTCTGCATGTCATCAATACAACATGACCACGACCACGACCCTGCATCATGTCAATTATTCTCTCCCATTTCATGTTCCCAGGTTTCCACTTTGCTTTGAAATTCCATTCATTCATCGCCTCCTCCTCCGCTCGTTTTACGTATTCAAATGTCGGAATTTTTTAAACTATACACCCCCAAGCAGACTCACTTCAAAGGGAAACCCTAATTCGAATTCTTTCAAACCTACCTTTGTCTGCAGCATGCAGATGCAAATACGTATAAATAAATCAGGGTTTGAACGAAAGAGAAGAAAGATTTAAGTGACCCACCAGCACGGTGGGAGGAAGGGGTCAAAATTTGGACAAGTTTTAGGTATGGAAACTTTTTTAGGTAGTTTGATAGCTAAAAATGTATGGATTATTACATTGTAAAAGAAAATCCTGAATTTGCTCCAAATCAAGAAATTAAGGTGCTATTGGATAACGCGTGGATGTGTCATAGATTTTTAATCTCACTCTACCCCTGTTAATTAAATGTCTTAAATACAAATTTTTAGAAGGGCATACATTTCATGCGGTTTTAGATAAATGTAGCTTTGGCACTTTAACGAAAAGTTAATTTTTGGTATTAAACCGCTTATGACACAAATTCAAAGTGCTATAAGCCAAAAATTAACGTCTCATTAAAGTATGAAAAGTTGCATTTCTTCCAAAACTTATGAAATTGATGTAATTTTACAAATTTAAATTTAAAGATTTTAAATAAAGCTAAAATGAAATTAAAAAAATCTATGACGCATCAACAAGTCATCCTAGAGCACCTTAATTTCCCAGTTAGGGTTAAAATCGGATTTTTTTCCAGGGTAATCTAGCTATTTTGAGCTATCAAACCAGGCACGAAAAGATTTTCAAGATTTTTTCTTATCCGTACGCTAAAAAATCAATTTAGGGAATTTACAGTATAAAATTAAAAATTGTTTGCCCTATGATATGTAGTTTTCACCAGTATTAATTTTTTTAATTTGTGCATGAGCTTTTTCGAAAATTGTCCAAATTTCCACCCATTCCATCCACCGTGCACCACCAACTTACTCACGTCACTTACTTAACTTGTGCAAGGTGAGACGCGAGGCAGGAAAAACATGAGAAATGCGATATGATTCCCCTTTATGTCAAGTATAAGGTACAAATGTTGCACAATTATGATCCGACTTATGAACGAATCCTCCACATTCATCCACCTTCATCCACGTCCACGCGTGTTTGATAAGCATACACAATCTCTTAAAAGGTTCTCTTCTCTTACGTACTTTCACTCGGTGAAAGTATGCACGGCTACCGGTTCCAGCCAGAAAAAAAGAGCAGGAATTCTCTCCACTGCATTCATACCTGAAAACAGTGTTTCGTTTCTTGCGGGTGGTTTACTAAAATCACATTTCTTGCAGGGCAAAACAAGCAACGGGAGAAATGTGGGGTGCAAGAAACTGGGAGAAATATGCGCCATCCAGCACAATGTTTCATTTTTTGCGGGTTTGCTATGTACATTTGTTGCACTGAAAAGCGAGAAATGCAAGAAATAAAGGGTGCAAGAAACTGGGAGGAAGTGCGAGAAATGTTTGCCATCTAGCCACGCGCCGTATGAAGTATTTATAGCGGCGGGACGTAGTTTCTTGCGCCATGCAATTCCTGCAGGTCGAAATAACTGCAAAACCCACTTTCTTTCTGTTTTTTCGTGCAATTTCCATTTCTTGCAGTGCAAAACAAGTCACGCAAGAAATTCGGGGTACAAGAAACTGGGAGAAAGTGCAAGAAATATGCGCCATCTAGCCACACGCCGTACGAACTATTTATAGCGTCGGGACGTAGTTTCTCCCGCCTTGAATTTCTTTCAAGTCGAAATATTCCCCTGCAAGAAACCACTTTCTCCCCCTTATTTCTCCCACCCGAAACGAAACCCTTATTCCTCCTGCTGCCATTCGTCAGTCAACATTTCATAGATAAAAGACGTCTCTCTCTCTCTTTTTCATGTCATATGTAGCATCAAAGTCGTATATTTTTAGAAATGTGGAGAATTTCTTTTTCTTATCCTTCTTATCCATTTTTTTGATGTAGATATGTAAGAATATCTTGCCAAGTAATAATGATAATCACGTGATGTAACGTAATGAAATAAAATGAAGTAAGTTTCCAGACACGAAATATGTTATAAGTTTCTTATCCATTGTTAAAATAAAATTGCACTTTTATTCGCCTTCGCCTTCTGGTTGCATAATAATAATCTCGAGAGATGTACATATGTAAGTTGCATAAAATATTGTTCTGATTTTTGCAAAAAAAAATTGCACAAGTTTTTGCAATAAATATATGTAACTTTTTGGGGTTATCTATCTATCTCTCTGGGGGTTGTAATTGCATTTATGAATCTGTAGATAAGTAGTTATATATTTAATTATGTATGGTTATCTATCTTTCTTTCTGGTAAGGTCTGTCAGGATAAGCGCTAATCATGATGTACGTAGATATAATTAAGGATAATTAATTAACTATTACGACTAATTAATTAACTAATTAGAGACGACTGTCGATCACTTCGCCGGGATCTTCGATGGCTGCTTGACGGTCGCGAATCGCTTTGAGCAACTTTCTCCTGGGGCCCATCTCGATTCCGATGGATTTTAGGTCTTCTTCCGTTAAAAGCATGAGTGCCTGGGAGGAATTAATGAAAATTTTAAGCAATTTAAAAAAATGTGCTAAAAATCTAAACGCTTTAAAAATCAGGATCAAAATTTAAGTTACAAACAAATATTATTGACTTAAATTGGATTGGTCAAAATTGGATTTTTCATTAAATTATGATCAAAATTTCACGATTCTTGAAAATTCGTATTTTAGAATTTTATTTTAGAATTAAGTTTAAAAAGTGTGATGAAAATGTAAAGGTTTTCAACAAATTACTTATGACCAAAATTTCACAATTCTTCAAAATTATGATCAAAATTTAACGGCCAAAAAATAGTGATTAAAATATAAGAATTTCCAAACACAAATTATTCCAATTTTAAGAATTTTCGACAATTTGTGCTAAAAATTTCACGATTTTTCTTCAAATTATGATCCTGATTTAAAGATTTTCAAAATTAACATTTTTTTACCTCCAAGTCAATCTTTTCTTGGATAAAGGTTGGAATATATTTGGAAAGTCCGGCCGCTGCTAAGAACAGTTCAACCGGACCGGTTTCTATATCTGTGGAGGCATTTAAATAGATAATTAATTAATTAATTGTAATTACCTAACTGCTCGTATTTACATATTTATGTATTTACATACCATCATCAGACTCTTCATACTGCCTACTGCTCCCATTATTCGGACTTTCTCCACTTTCCCCGCTTCCTGCTCGTCCATTTTTATTACTGAAATTTGGGAAATTTTGCATCGTTGAAGTTATCGAGTTGCGAAACGCCATAGAACCGAATCCTGGGCGTTCAAAGATTGAAGGAATTGCGTCACCAGGTTCGCGATCATCATTTGTTCCCACCTGCACACACAAAAATTCCCTCATTAATTGGTCGGAAATAAAGAGTGTTACGTTTCTTGCGGGTTTGCTATATTTTTGGCTCTGGAAAGGACGAAACGAAGGAAATGAAAGGTGCAAGAAAGCGCAAGAAGAAAGTGCAAGAAAGACAAAAAATCAAAGGTGCAAGAAACTGGAAGAGACTGCAAGAAATGCAAGGTACAAGAAATGTAAGGTGCAAGAAACTGCAAGAAATGTAAGGTGCAAGAAACTGCAAGAAATGTAAGGTGCAAGAAACTGCAAGAAATGCAAGGTGCAAGAAACTGCAAGAATATGCAGTGCAAGAAACTGGGATAAAGTGCACGAAATATGAGCCATCTAGCCACGCGCCGTATGAATTATTTATAGCGGCGAGCTTAGTTTCTTGCGCCTTGCATTTCTTGCAGGTCAAAATATCCCCCTGCACGAAACCACTTTCTCCCCCTTATTTCTTGCACGTGGTTACTTTCGCCCATAAGAAAAAAACTAGACTCACCTGTTGCATATAATCCGGCTGTGAAATTGACCTTGTCAACCCAATCCCCGATATTGACCCGGCCCTTCGCCCCACAGTGCCTCTGTTTGGCGGGGGTGACTCTGACCCACCTCGCAGGACACCGTTGCTGTGACCATTGGCTTGCCCATTTTCATCCATGTTGGTAATGTCCTCAAATAAGCCGTCAATTTTGCCCCGTTTGCCCAAATTGTTGGTGGAAATGTCATACTTTGGAACGTACATGACTTCCGAGTCCCGTCTCAACCCGGATAAGGAACGGATCGAGCGTTTCCCGTCCGCCTCGATTTCCGCGACCTAGATTTTTTAAATTTCAGTTAATTAAAATTTTATTAATGTAGGACTCGATAAATCGTCACCAAAATTATGAAAAATCAGCACATTTTAAATCATTTCTCCCCTCTGGGAATTTATTTTGAAATTCTGGACGACAAATTTACCGTCAGTGAATTGATTGGGTGGAAATGGTGGAATTGATGGAATTACATTTGAATTCTAAATTTTATATTTTGTTTTTGAAAATTTGTTCTTTTGGATGTTTATAATAAACTCAGCTTTATAACTATAGATCTGAATAAACAAATTGCTAGTTAATTTTTCTGCATAATTTTTTTCGACTTTGTAGCTTAACACTATTTTTTTAACAAAACTCGTCTAAACATGTTTTTTTTAGAAATTATAGGCTTGTATTTTTTTGTACATAGCAGAATTGTGCAAAATGTTGCTTTTTCTGCCTTAATAAACTTGAAATCTCCTCTTTTAAAAAGTGTTAAAATCTGGCGGGGGGGGGTATATTTTAAAAATTGCTCGTCAAATTTGTCGCCCAGAATTTTAAAATAAATTCCCAGATCGGAAAAACGATTAAAAATGTGCTGATTTTGACTATTGTGGGGACAAGTTAAAGACATAAATTTACTAATTTACAAATTTCTCTAGGTATAAAATGAAATGAATGGTCACCTTAAAATCTGAATCTGGCACGGCGGCGGGAGCCTTATTACCCGCCACGGTTTGGCCCTTTTTCTGTTGTACTTTTTTATACACGCCGGTATAATGAACCCCACCCGCACCTGCGGCCCCGCTCTGTTTCGCGTTCGCCGTGGCGGCTTGATTCGCCACGATTTCTGAAAATTTAGGACTGGACGCGTATAAAAGACGGGAATCTTTGCGGAGGGAGAGGAACGCCATGGAAGGTCGGGGTCCACCCGCGGCGGGGTCGCCGGTACCACCTTTAACAGTCCCGCCATGCTTTTCCATCTCCTTTCTGGCCCTGGCGAGTCTTTTGTTGTCCTCTTCGGACTGTTTGGACGCCTTTTTTTGCAACTTTTCGAAATCTTTGGCTCTCTTTTCGGCATCACGGACGCCTTTTTCTTTGTGTGCTTTGACCTGAAATTAATAGCGTGATTAATTAATTAATTATTGTGACTAACTTCGTAATTAGTAAATCAGCTGTTTAAAGAATTTGTGATTTTTTGTTAATTAATTAATTCTATAATTAATTATGACTTAATTAAAGTAATTAGTAAAATTTGGCAATTAATTACTTATATTTTTAGAATTTTTGCCACCTTTTTTAGTTGACTAATTAATTATACGATTAATATTACGAACTAACGTAATTAATTAATCAAGTTCTTAGGAATTTTCATAAATTGTTGCCAACTTTTTCAGTTAGTTAACCACTTCGCCCCTATAACGACTATGTGGCGTATTTGACCTTTACGCCGAGTACGACCATGTGGCGTAAGTTCCCTTGGCACCGGAATGCGACGATGTGTCGTATTGACCCTTGACAACGGATACGACTATGTGGCGTATTTTCCGTTCACACCGGCCTACGACTATGTGTCGTATGCGGAAAAAATTAGGTCATTGCCTCTCCAAGCAAAGCAAAGCAGGAGTTATGAGTCAACAACCCGCCCTTTAGGCGGGAAGATAAATTGTCTCTTAGGAAATAACATTGGAAAGGGATGCAAAATAAATTTATAGCCAAGTGGCTATATCTAGCCAACACGCCGAGTTGTGAAAACTGTTTTTTGCAAGGAAATTTCGACACCGATTTATTTCAACAACGCTTTACGATAAGATTAGAGAAATTGTTTTGCTCGCATGTAGCACAAACGGGCGTTTTGGGCGAGAAAACTAAAAGTTTGATGAATTGCATCATCGCATGGATTTAATTATATATCACAAATAATCTTGCCGGTAGGGTAAACTACTTCAAAATTAATGACTACGTATCGGGTGCCGCTGAAATATCTTTTGGGCGGGAAAATTAAAAATTGAGAGATTGCCAGGAATTAGTAGAATTTAATTTTCCCGCTTAAAATTGATTTCTATTCACCAGATGCGCCATAGTCTATTTTCGAGCAATTTCATCTCACGGGATAATTATTCATTGTCATTGCTGTGTATTTAAAGTCATTGTAAGGATTTTTGGTTTTCCCGCCCAAAATCGGCTCCTAAGGCGCTTTAGGCGCTATAATCAATATTTGCAAGTTTACGTACTAATATGCAAGTATTACTGCATGCTTGTCTAACTTTTCATGCAATTACAATCATTTTTAAAATTCGGCGTGTTGGCTATTTTCGGCTATAAACATTGGTGGCTCGCCACAACTCAAAAATGCAAATTACAACTCAAAATCCCTTCTTGAAAGGTTATTCACATCAATTTTCATAAAAAAGTGTCCAGAATAATTCCGGTGGGAACACCATTTTTTAATTCATGGCCCAGGAATTAACGTCATGCAGTAGATAAAAATTTCGGGGTCAAGGGAGGTAAAAATTCGCGGTTACTAGGGGTGAATGGTATGAAAAAACTCGTCTCCTAGGGTTGAAGTGGTTAATTAATTACGCAATTAGTTATGACTTAATTTAATTAATTAATAAAATTGGTAAGAATTTTGAAAATCTTTTTCCAACTTTATCGATTAGTTACTTATTAAGCAATTAATTACGACTCAATTTAGTTTATCAACAAAATTCTGAAGAATTTATCAAACTTTTTACCACCTTTTTCAGTTAATTAATTAAGTTCATAATTAATTATAACGACAAATGGTCCATTAATTAATCAATTTTTTAAGGAATTTGTCAATTTTTCCCCACCTTTTTCGGCTCTTTGACTTCCTCCTTGCCAATCGCGGCGTCTAAATAGCGTAGAATATCGTCCCTTGAATTAATCGCTGCTAAATCTTTGGCGGAATGGAAGTCGATATCCAAGGCCCACATGTTGACGCCAAAGTTGACGAGAAATGAGACGCAGGGCATGTGACCACGAGCCGCGGCGAAGTGGAGGGCGGAATTCCCGTAGTTGTCACATTTGTCCGGGTCACCGCTGTAGGTCAAAGGTTATCTTTAATTAATTAATTTGCATATTATTTAACTAACAAGGGACGTCTCTCGGCGTCTGCGATCCGATTTTGGGTACATCTTTGAGAAATTTTTGAGAAATTTCTGAGAAATTTTCACCTTAAACCAAATTTGTGTACTAAAATTTTTTGCAACTAATGTTCATATGTAAAACCGATTGAAATTGCATTTACTACATTTTTGCCAAAATTTTAATATTTTGGAGTTACAGAAATAAAATTTTTGTTTGCCTTGTTTGATCACCGAATTGAATAAATTTTAATGTAAAACTTTCTTAAAGTATAAATAGATTCAACCGTAGCCTCCAGGAAAATATTTTGCAAACAAGCAAATTTTGGACACAACTTTTCAAAATAATTTCTCGTTCTACTTGAACCTTGTCGGATTTCCAATTCGCCTCTCGCACTGGAGGTCTCCCAGTGTATGCTCTCCGATTTTGAGCAAACTAGTGTCAATCGAGGACAAATTTGATTAGGATGAAATTTGCGAAAGACACGACCTCCCAATGGGCACGTTTGGCAGAGATATTTGCACCCGAAGAGGAGAAAATGCGCCTTAAAGTTGACACATTTTACATTTTGAAAATTTACTGCGTGTTTTCTCCTCTTGGGATGCAAATATCTCGGCGAAACGTGCCCATTGGGAGGTCGTGTCTTTCGCAAATTTCATCCTAATTTAATTTGTCCTCGATTGAGACTAGTTTGCACAAAATCGGAGAGCATGCGCTGGGAGACCTCCGGTTGAAGTTGATAAATAAATAGTCAGGAATATTTAACCTTAATTTTAACTATAAAATTTTTCATTGAGCTGCTTCAAAGTCAATATAATTAATTTTGTGTTTCGCATTACGCCAAGTTCATTAAAGATTCCAAACTAATCTATGATTTTAATTTTGCAAGAAATTTCAGTTCAGCATGATAATTTGTCAGGTGCTGAATACTAATTGATTGGATCAGCTAAAATAATAAAGTTGAATAATTTTGCCTTGATTTTAATAAGTAGTAAAATTTTGATTTAATTTTTTTCTGGACAATTTAAGTACAACCTTTCAATCAAAAAATCAAGATCGTTACGCTTTTTCAGTTCGCAGTTAAAATTAATTTTGTAAATTAATAAAACACAAAGATAGTTATGAATATTCAGCGTATGAAAAAAAGTGCATTTGTTGTGTATGTATCAAAACTTAATTCTGGATTAAATTTAATTTACACTCTATTTTTAGTTACGTATGAATATTCAGTGTGAAAAAAGTGCATTTTTTGTATGTGTTTCGGTACTAAGACTTAATTCTGGGTTGAATTTATGTTGCGATTCATTTTTTAGCATGTAATTATTTGAGTAATGAATAATCAGATAGTGATCTTATAAATAGTGAGGTACTGTATTTTAGAATTTCAAAATAATAAAATTTTAAAATTTCAATTTTATTGTAAAATTTCGATTTTGTACTCTGAATAATCATATAGTGATCTGATATTAATATACGGTGAGAGAATGAATTTTCGAAATTTGTATTTTATTTAGAAATTTCGACTTTGTACCCTGAATAATCAGATACTGATGGATGGATACGGCGAAAAAATAAATTTTAGAAATTTGTTTATCTCAAAATTTTGATTTTGTACCCACCCTCGCCCCACGATGAGTCTCAAGGCGTCCAAATTTCCTTCGAAGGACGCCCAAAGAGTGGGCGTCATGCCGTCTTCATCCTTTGTGTTGAGGTCCTTGCGCGTCGCTTCCTTTAACGCTTCCAAATAACCGTCACGGGCCGCTCTGTGCAAAAAAAATTGGATAATAGAAAATTACATATATCTATAAATTTGTTGGATTTATTTTTCTAGATTTTTAGAAAGAATAGAAAGATTGTTTATTCTTCACTGGAGAAAACATCCAGGTTTTTGGTGCATAGACAATTTTCTAAAAAGTAAACAGTCCAAATTTCGTTTTTTTTCGAAATCGAATGATTCCATAAAATTCAAGATTATTACAGTATTTTGTCAAATACAGAGACCCCAGCTCACTGGGGTTAAATTTCGTAACAAAAAAATCGAAAATCTAATATATTTGAATAAATTTCTATTTTTTTGGAACAAAATCGTATTTTTTTTCCCTAGGCTTTATCCTAATCAAAAAATAATTCCGTCACAAATCCCATCTTTTCCTACTTAAAACATTACCTTGTAACATAAACCTCGTAATACATTCAAATCAAACTCACACAACAATCTGCATATTTCATCGTAGTGAAAAATTATGCCCTCAATTCTTCTCCGTCCCTTCATCACCTTGTCACAGCTCATTTCTTCCTATGTTTCCAATAAAATCGTGATTTTTACCCTAAGTTTTATCCTGATCAAAAACCAATTCAAATTCCCTACAAAATTTCCACCCTCGTAATACAAACCAAACTCACGCAACAATCTGTCATACTTCATCTCATAAAAAAATATGCCCTAAATTCTTCTCAATTCTTCTGTCCTCTAATTTTTTTAAGCACCTTGTCGCATCTCATTTCTCTCTTTCTACTAGCTCCACCACCATCAATTAATTTGTCAAGATTCGTCCCGTACATAGAATCACATTAGTCGCGTAGGTATTTAGAAGAAGGAATTTATTAAAATGAAAAATTACAAACGACTCCTATACATAAAACGTGGCATGGTTTGGTTTGGTTGACTTTTTTTGCGGAACGGTTAAGTTAATATCATTTACGGTTCCTGCCTTTACGGTGGATGAGTAAATATCTGCCTCTGATTAACGAATTAAGAAAGAACGACATACGTACGACGACAAGACAAACCATGACATGTGTGTGCATATCATGGTATCACAATACGGCCAAATTTCTTGCATATTCTCCGTCACACATGGCGGTTGTAAAAAAAGACGAGATTACAGCAACGATTACGAGAGAGAAGATGAACTCACAAAAGGGATCGCTTTTTTTAAGGCAGAGGAAGGCCTTATGTGCCCGACATGGGTGTCTGTCTGTCTGTCGATTAAGCTAAGTAGTAAAACTTATCCAATCGACATGAAGTTTTGGACACATGGAGAATATGCAAAATTTGAAATTCGGCGAGTTCGAAAATTAGCAAAATCTGTGGGCTTATGTACCCGTCATGGCTGTCTGTCTGTCTTATCTATCGATTACCCTCGGAAAACTTATCAAACCAAGTTGAAATTTTGAACAGAGAACATGCAAAATTTTGAATTATGTGAGTTCGAAAATGAGCAAAATGTGTGGGATTATGTACCCGTCATGGCGGTCTGTCTGTCGATTAATCTCGTAAAACTTATCCAATCGACTTGAAATTTTTGACACACGGAGAACATACGAATTTGAAATTGAGAAACAAAAATTTGTGGAAAAACAAAAAAAGTTGTACGGTACCACCTCAATTTTTAGTAACACCCTGACTCGGGCTAAACCATGCTGCAGTCTGGGTTTTTATTTCTGCACATACATACTAACCCAACGTCTCCTCCTTTTACATATGTAAGTATGAAGATGACATAATATGTAACGGAGCTTATTCAACCATTTCTTATTCACCACACCACACCACAAACAATAATATTATTCAAGAGAGGAAAATAAAAAAAGGGACAAAAGACGATTCCCCAGTCGAAAAAAGTTTGTATTTTTAAGAAAGGAAATTCTTGAATGTGTTACGATTTATTTATTTACTTACTTATGAAATCGATCCGCCATGCTGAATGAAAATCTTGATGGGAACTTAAGGAAAAACGGGTTATTTTATGAACTTATGGATTTATTTCACTTCAAAAATGTCACTGGGAAGATTTTCATGAAAATTTTATACACAATTTTCGCGTAATTTTATAACTTTGCGAAAAATATTTCAGGGTGAGGTTTCTCGGAAAAAAAGTATACTTTTAATCGTCACATCACCACCACGACCACCACCAGGGGACGATCATTGATAAGAGTGACGACAATTAATCATGTCCAATACATATCTGTCGAGCAAGGATGATAAGCGCGGTGGGTATTTGCATACGTATTGATTCTTATCGATTCGATATGCATGTAAAACGATACCATGCTAATGAAGTGACATTGAATTGCACAACTGAAGTTTTTAAGCAGCACTAGTACTCGGAAATATTTTTGGCATGCAAATATCTGAACTTAACAAAACTGCACATATACATTCTTAAATAAATTTAATTGTTATTGTGCTGTCGACTTGATGAGTGATTGACGCGGAATGAATTAAATTTTTCGATAAAGTGACCAAAATTCGTCATCACTGATGCGACGACCAAGACCACCACCACTTATCCATTTTCAGTACGAATATCAATAATAAATATTCCTTGCATCATTTATTATTAGTGATGAGAGGAGGATGATCCTCCATAACTTTTCGGGTAAGAATGCGTGCCTGGCTTATCAAATAGATAAGTTTGATGCGACACGTTCTACGAAATTATTACGTCATTTTATTTTATTCTCACTTTAAAACTTTCCCACTTTAAAATTTTCTCATCCAATTTTAGAAATGTTTTGGTTTATCAAATATGTTTAAACATGTTTAAACAGTTAAACTTTATCGATGCAATGCAACGCATTCTATGAAATTACGTCATTTTGTTTTATTTCATATTCACTAAAACTTTCCCACTTTAAAATTTTCTAATCCAATTTTAGAAATGTTTTCGTCAAAAGTTTGATTTCTTACACAGCGAATGCGAATCGTAGCACATCACTTTGCAGTGTAAACTTGTTGCCGGGAGCATGGCGTGGGAATTTGCGGTGCGGTTTTGCTCTTCTCTCACCAAGATCTTTTATCTTTATATGGATTGGAATCTTATTAGTTTTCTTGCTTCGAGTCCACTAACCCTGCAGAAATAAAATTCTTATTCACTCACGTAGTACGTCTCCTCTTCTTCCGATGAGATCTCATATCGGAAATTTATAGATTTATCCTATCCTGCCAGTTCACACTTAAAGTTGAAAATTTGTACGACCAGAACAACTTGCACAACTTCACCTTCCCGACTGGGAATTGATTTGATTAAGAAGACGGAAAAGTCTGGAGTGAGTGTGTGCTTTTTAAGGTGAGATGTGAATTTGATTAAAGGTGGTTGGTGATGAATAGCGATGGTCTTCTTCTTGGTTTTAGGCTTGTGTTGAGGAAGGGATTCATTATTTAGATATGTAGCAGCGATGTAATGTAATGTAATGTAGAGTAACAATATATGGAAATGGTGGGCATATGTACAGAAATACATAAGTGTATATAGATTGCCAGCAAAATAAGTACACTACTTGCTACTTTTATGTGTATGTACTTGGTGGTCGCTGGTCGGGGTACAAAAAAATGCGGCGTGTGTAATAATGTAATTCCACCCCCACCAAGTAAAGCAGCAACCCTCGCTTCCGTCGACGGCCGTATGTTGTATACGTGAAAAGTTGACTCGTAAGTACGGTAAGGATGCAACAATCAAGCCGAAAAGCATAGGCTCAGGTGAGTTCGTCATCATCATCATCATCACATCATGCAATTTTAAACGGCAGCAGGCACTGACTGGTCCGACTTCCTTCCTTCCTTCCATTTCAGAGAGAGGAGACAGACCGGAAATGAGGAGATGTGAATGTGAAGAGGGGGACAGGAAGCAGGGGCCGCGGAAGGGTGGATCTGGACAGAGGGGCAATGTGCCCAGGGTTGTTCGATGTCCGTATCATCTGCCCATCTTATATAAACCCGGCCCTCCCCCCATCCTACAATGTTAACGTCCCCCGATGTCCCCACGGCTTCCGCGGCCACTGGGGACAGGTAGCGTGGTGGATAGAGGGCCATTTATGTATGCACCATTATTGGAAAATATGCATGGATGTATGAATGTCCTGCCTCGTATAGAATTTTTTGTGGTTTTATTACTCAAGTATTTTTTGTTACAGAGTTTTGTACGAAATTTTAGAATGGATGTGCCGAGTTTCACGTATTTTGTGTTACAGAGCAGCTAAAATTGTATGAATTTTAAGAATGGACAGGTCGCGTTGTAAATGCGCAGTTTAGGTGAATTCGTGAAGGTGACGATTTATGAATGTATGAATAAAATTATGTATGCACATTTTAAACACGTTTCTGCGAAAAAGGGTGACATTTTTCGGGGAAATGTATGCAAATTATCTATGAGTCACCTGCTTTCAGATGATGACATGCCTGAAGAATGCGAAAATCGGGTAGATTGGTGCAAATTTGGAGTCACTTGGTTTCAGATGAGATGACTTTTTTCTAGGAAATTAGATGCAGATTGGGACAATTTTTTTTAGGTCACATGCTTTTAAATGATGAGATGACAAGAATACGAAAATCAGTTCCGGTGGGAATGACAAGACTTTTTCTAGCCCGAGTCAGGCCTTATGTACTCACGTGTCATGATATGATTATCTGTCTGTGTGTCGATTACGATGGTAAAACTTGTCCAATCGACTTGAAATTTTGAAAATGCAAAAATAGGAATTTTCATAAAAAGTATGAAAGTTTTAGCAAGAGGCCTTATGTACGAGTCACGATTGTCGGTCTGTCTGTTTATCGATTACGAGGGGAAAACTTGTCCAGTTGACCTGAAATATTGGAATTAATGCAAAAATAGGAATTTTCATAAAAAGTATGAAATTTTTACCCGGAGTCAGGACTTATGTATGTACCCTTCTGTCTGTCTGGGTGTCTCTCTATGAATTGGCTGGTTAAATTTATCCAATCTACTTGAAATTTTGGATACGCGTAGATTATGTAAAATTAGGAGGGTAATTTTGGAAAATTTTTGAAAAACTAAGAAAAAAGTTGTAGTCGTGATACGGTAAACACCTCAGGAGGAACAACCTGACTCGGGCCAAAGAAAGTTGTCCTGCAGCTTTTTATTATTTAATTTAGAGGTGAAAATTGAAATTGGATGTAAATTGATTAGCCCGTGGTTTGCGTCTGTTTAGCATTTTTTGCCCCCTTTTTGACCCCCTTTTTCGCCACGGTTTTCTTCTTCCTGAGGTTCAAATTGAGTGGGGCCAGACCGACGGCTTTGTTCTTGTTCTTAACATTCTTCCCAGTCGTGAATCGGGACAATTTGGTGTTGCTTTTGAGCCGGAGACCTTTTTTGACCCCCATCGAACTTAGGCCCACGCCTCGCGCGAGACCTTTGCCTTTGGCGCCGCCCTTTTTTAAAGCACCTGCTTTGAGGAGGGAGGAGGATTGGCGCCATTTTAGGCCGCGACTGGCCAGCGAGCCCACACCAGCGGCCAGAGATTTGGTCGTTTTCTTCGCCTTGCGGGCCGCGTTGGCCATGAGTTTGGACTGCTTCCAGCCAAAGTTGCGTTTGACTAGGTTCATTTTGCTGCCCCCGCCAGAACCGGAAGTGGAGGAGGAGGAGGAGGAAGAAGATTTTTTTCGGTTGCGGGTCTTCATGTTCCACTGATTGTTCCAGGCGGAGCGTTGGCGACCAGAGCGGCGACCGGCACTACCGGAGTTTTTGAGGCCGGATTTATTCTTGGATTTATTTTTTCTCTTGCCACCGCCAGCTTTCCCGCCGGCCTTCCCGCCACCCCCGGCTTTTCCTCCGCCCCCGCTGGAAGAGGAGGAGCCCCCTGAGGAAGAACCCCCAGAGGTGGCTGAGCCAGATGATGAGCCCCCGGAGGAAGTAGCCCCACCCGAGGAGCTACCACCGGACGAAGATCCACTCCCGGACGACGATGAACCTCCACTTCCGGATGCTGATGACCCACCGCTCGATCCACTCCCGCTTCCGGAAGATGAACCCCCCACCCCGACCAATCCTCCTCCGCTGGATGATCCAGATCCTCCAGAAGTACCCAAACCAAGATCGACTCCAGTTCCACTGCCACTTCCGGAGGAAGCTCCTCCTCCTCCCGCACTTGCGCCGGTATCTACTCCCACACTGGTTGAAGCCCCACTTCCTGAAGAAGCTCCACCCCCAGCGCTACCTCCACCTCCTGAACTTCCGCTCGATGTACCACCCCCGACTCCCACACTTCCGCCTCCGCCCGTACTTCCGCTTAAAGAACTGGATCCACCACCAACGCTGACGTCAAGACCTCCTCCTCCCGCAGATCCAGATGATGTTCCGCCCCCCGCGCTACCTCCTGCACTTCCGCCTGAAGTACCCCCTCCTCCCGCACTTCCACCAGCATCAACACCCACACCGGTTGAAGCCCCACTTCCTGAAGAAGCTCCACCCCCAGCGCTACCTCCGGCACTTCCGGAAGAAGCTCCACCCCCAACGCCAATTCCACCACCTGAACTTCCGGCCCCACCACCCACTCCGACGTCAAGCCCGCCACCTCCCCCACTTCCGGAAGAAGCTCCACCCCCAACGCCAACTCCGCCTCCTGCACTTCCGGCCCCACCACCCACTCCGACGTCAAGCCCGCCACCTCCCCCACTTCCGGAAGAAGCTCCACCCCCAGCGCTACCTCCCGCACTTCCGGAAGAAGCTCCACCCCCAACGCCAACTCCGCCTCCTGCACTTCCGGCCCCACCACCCACTCCGACGTCAAGCCCGCCACCTCCCCCACTTCCGGAAGAAGCTCCACCTCCAACGCCCACCCCACCACCTGCACTGCCCCCTGCACTACCACCCCCATCCAATGACCCCCCAATGTCCAACCCCCCACCTGCCGATCCTCCCGCCCCGGCGCCAGCTCCTCCCTCTGCCCCAGCACTACCTCCTCCTCCTCCCCCCGCCCCAGCACTACCTCCTCCTCCTCCTCCCGCCCCAGCACTAGCTCCTCCCCCCGCCCCAGCAGCTCCGCCTCCTCCCAACAATCCCGCTAAATCTAGACCTCCCCCTCCTGACGCCCCACCACCACCACCACCAGCTGCCGCCAATAATCCCTCCAGATCAACTCCCCCTCCACCGCTAGCACCACCCAATAATGCGCTCAAATCCACTCCGGCACCCCCACCAGCGGCCGCATCTCCGCCCAACATGCTCGTCAAACTGGCCAAATCCAAGCCAGCCCCACCCCCTCCAGTTCCCAATCCTAGGTCAAGTCCAGCCCCGCCTCCTCCTCCACCTGCCGATCCACCCCCACCCGCCCCGAGATCTTGAACAATCGCAAATTAAGGACAAAATTAAATTCATGCCAAAAAAAATTCACACAAAAAAATTGAATAAACAATCTCAAATTATGTACATAATTACAAAATTCATGCAAAAAGCATCGTCAATTTTTACAATCTCAAAAAATTAAATCCAAAATCCATTTTAACAAGATCGCCAATTTTTACAATCCTAAACCTTTAAGTCAACATTATCGCTAATTTTTTAATCTCAAAAAATTAAACACTAAATTCATGCCAAAAGCATCTCCAATTCTTACAATCCCAAATTAAATCCTAAAATGCCAAAAAACATTGCCAATTATTACAATCCAAAATTATGTAGATAATTACAAAATTCATTCAAAAAGCATCGCCAATTTTTACAATGTCAAAAAATTAAATCTAAAATCCATTCAAAAAGCATCGCCAATTTTTACAATGTCAAAAAATTAAATCTAAAATCCATTCTAACAATATCGCCAATTTTTACAATCTTAAATTATCGCTAGTTTTTGCAATCTCGAAAAATTAAACCCTAAATTCATGCCAAAAAAACATCGCCAATTTTTACAATCCAAAATTAATGACAACGAAACATCGCCAATTTTTACAATCCAAAACTAATGACAAAAAACATTGCCAATTTTTCGCTCACCCAGTAACTGCGCATCTACAGTTTGGATTATTTGTAACGCCACCCCCACCACCAGCGCTACGGTGGTGGCTACAAGTCGTCCCGACCGAAATCCACACTTGTCCCCTAATTTCATCTCAGTTTGTCGAAATTAATATCGCTCCGTTCACCTGGTCTGTCCCCCAGCGAATAATCGCTTCGTACTGTCTGACATCGTCGCACCAGGGTCAAATTTTCTACTCGTTTGTGGCGTGTCGTCACAAAATAGTAAAATTTTGTTGAAAATGAAATAAAATAATGTTCGTTTTGTTTCTTTCTGGACACATTTCGGCATTGAACTTTCGATCTTGAGGACACAGACTTTTTGAGCTTTATTCTTGTGGGGGAGGTGACGGGACGTGGGACATGAGATGATGAGATCTTATCGAGACATGCGACATGCCTGCATGGCTGGTGGGCTGTATTCTCCTTTCGCTATTTTTGTAATTTGGTTTTGTTTACGTTTATTTTTTTGCACTGTACAATTTTTTCTGGATAGATTTTTTTTTCTGAATTGTAATTTTTCCATATTCATACTTTTTTGTTTGTTATTTAAAATGTTTTCATTTTTCAGACCATATTTCGTTCATGCAAAGCTTTTATTTATTTACTTATTGATTCTCAGGAAGTGACACAAAAGAGATAAAAGTCAACATTGAGTTGGATACATGCGATAACCTTTTGTTAAGGAGTATATTTTGTATGAAAGGATGTTTTGTCCAGTCCGTCTGTCCGATGGTGGGATGGGAACGATGAGATTCGAAAGACTTTATGTAATTCAGCAAAGTTTAAAAAAAACAGTGACACTGAACATGACAGTTTTCATACGATACAGCACTGAAAATAATAGTTTTTATACAATTTGAACGAAATTATGAGACACTTTTGTGTTTGATTTTGTCAAAATTTAGCATCATGAAGTTATCTTATAGGGTAGTTAATCAGGAATTTTACAAAAAAAATAAAATGTGGAGTTGAAGTTAGCAGTTTAAGTATGCGTGCACACGTGTAGTGTATATGCACATAAGGTTTTGGATCCATAATTTTTGGATAAATTTATTACACACGTTTACTAAAATGCATGTATTTTATTTTTTTCTATGTGACTTACATATTCCCGTTTCATAGAATAGCATTTTCATGGCATGATATTTTCTTGTACCATAATTTCTGGAAACATATGTAAAATCTTGAATCACTTTGTTACATCCGTTTACTACGGTGCATGTCTTTTCTTTTTAGAAAATGTAACTTGTTCAAGTTTTATAACATGACATTTTCATGATACGATTTTTATGTACTTGTACATAAATACCACAATTTCTGGAAACCTCGAAAACTTTGGACCACTTTATTACACCCGTTTACAATTTACATGCGTTTACTGCATGTCTTTTCTTTTCAGAAAATGTGACTTGTTCCCGTTTCATTTTTCCATGACATGCATGCATACATGATCCATGCATATTTACATGTTTAATTATTGGTTCAAGTCTCGTCGCCTTTTCATGCGCATCATCCCTCCACCTGGACATTGTTTTGTTAGATGGGTGGTTAGATGGTCCTCTCTCCAGGAATGCATGAAATGAAATGAAAACAAGTCTCCATATTGTGCACGATGTGCACGATGCATGCCTGAAATTCAAGTCATTCCTTTTTACAAGGGACAAAAAATAAGGGCTGCCAGACCTCTCATTCAGTCCAGATGGCTGCTTACGTACGACTCCATCCAAAGTCTGGGTTGCATGCACGCCATGCATTTTATATTGTAGGACACAAAAAGTGGTCTGTTTACAGTGTGACCAGTGGCCGCGGAAGTTGTGGGGGCATCTGGGGACATTGCCATTGTAGGATGGGGGGAGGGAGGGGTTTGTATAAGATGGGGAGATGATGTGGACATCGAACAAGCGTGGGGACATTGTCCCTCTGTCCCCACCCTCAAGCTTCCGCGGCCACTGGGACTGACAGGGTTTCGTCCATCCATTCTTATTCACATTTTCCCATGCGTACCCTGTCTCTTAATAATCCAATCCAATCCAGTCATTCTGCTTTTCTTATGGATCAAGTGGACTTCTCGTCGTATGTAAGACTACTAAAAACTCTGTAATAAGAGGGTGGATTGGACGTGGACGAACAAGTTGGTTGGCTCGTTCATTTATATCTTTTCCGTTAAGTTTAAGACTGCTTAAAGCCGTATTTTCATGGGGAACTCCTGAGTCAGTCTGCCTATGCATTTCCTAATATCTTACGACTGTTTGGTTCGTGGGATGGAATGAAATCGGGGTTTTTACACTTTACTTACGTTATGTACATTACACACTGCGTAAGTAAAGATAAGTAAGTTCATAATGTGAACACAATGCAGCAAAACCATGAGGAAAGAGAGAGCCAGCCAGTCATCAGGAGGAAAAATAAGTTTTAACGATGCCAGCAAAATGCTTCACTTGGTAAATGCACCAGTCTAAACAATACCACCAACCAGCGCAAACGGGACTTCCTCCCACTAAAATAAGGCTAAAAGTACACTTGTTAAACCCTAAATGTGATGTGATACTTAAAACTTTTTTGCGATATTGGGAATGAAAGTAAATACATAAGTAAAGTGGTGAAGAAATAAAAAATGAGCAAAGTTTTGTCTACCCGACAAACGGGAACTTGTTGTAAACGGCCGATATTTATGTACTAAACAGGTGAAAAATTGGAAAGAAATTTAAATTTTGTAGGAAAGAAAATTGACAACTTTTTTACTCTTAAAGTGCGTATTAACTACCGAAAATATAGGGAATTATAAATAACGAAATTGAAATTTTGTCGGGAAAATTGACAACTTTTCTACAACTTTTCAACTCGTAAAGTGCGTATTATTAAGGAAAAATGTAGTGAATTGTATCTACCAAAATAGCAATTTTGTAGGGAAAATTTACAAGTTTTTTGTAAACTTTTTGTACTTTACTCTTATGTAAATTGCGTATTATTACCGGGACTATGTAACTACCAAAAATCTAGTGAATTGTGTACCGAAATTGAAATTTTGTAGGGAAAATTGACTACTTTTCTGGAACTTTTTAAACTCGTAAAGTGCGTATTATTAACCAGTTTTTTATTATTCTGGATCAGATATCGCCTCTACTTTCATGCATATTATTGGCTGATAAGTGGTTTTGATAAGACCGAAAACCAGACGGGGGAGTGAAAGTGGATGAGTGAGAGAAAGTTATGGATTGCCGGTTTTCCAGGAGAGGATTGGATTCCTAGCTTAGCTGGGTGGGAGAAGAGCCGAAAACCTGAAGGAAGCCAGGCCACAGCCACCCTCAAAATCGATCCGGGTTCTTTTCCCCTCTTTCCCGACAAGACAACAAACCAAAAGTGTCCGAATTTTTAAAAATATGTGGATAAAAAGACACCGATTTTGATGTTACTGAAAGTGATTTTGTGATTTCGTGAAATTGTGTCCGTTGCAAAATTCTGAATTGAATGGTGAGTACCACTTTTTTGCAAAGTTTTCCATTGTCCGTTAGTAAATAAATAGGGTTTTTGCGCGTGTGTATTGTTATTTAACTGGACAAAGGAAGGATCCGAGTAAATTGGCAATTGTTATTGGACAGATTAAAGTGAGGATTTGATTTCATTTGCAAATTTAAATTTGCTCATGGTGCGAATTTTCACTACGCTGTGTAATTTGTTAGGTTTGCAAAAGTTGACACTTTTCCGATGCAGTATTATTTGACTGGACAAAGCATTATCCGAGTAAATTGTCAATTGTTATTGCGAATTTAGTTTCATTTGCAAATTTGTCCGTTGTGCGAATTCCACTGCATTTTCACTGAACTATGTAATTTGTTAGCAAAAGTTAGCACTTTTCGGATGTAATGGATGACACTGAACCATTATCATGTATGCAAATTTATGGCATGATAAATGACTTTAACGGTGCGAAACACGCTAATTTCAACGCTGGTCAAATTCATTTTGGACGGTACATAGGTACATAGTTACACATTATACAAATTGTAGGCGAATAAATACAGATAATTTTCTTTTTTGAGTACGGTTCACTGACTGCATTGCACCAGAGTTATTTATAGTTTCGGAATAACTTATGAGAGGATTTGATTTGCAATTCAGTCTTAAATAAATAAATAAAAGGTGAAGTTAAATTTCTGGTAGTGAAAATTGGTAAACTTTGGCGTCCGTAAAATGTTAAGTGAAAAGTTATAAATTATTAAATACATTTATAGATCCGTATGGCTTTAGTAGTTCGTAAAATTTTGTCTTGCTTAAGCAATCAGGTAAAAAACAACCTATTTTTCGGGCAATGTTAATAGTCTCAATTTTTTTGAAAATTTTCTGAGAGGGTATTTGGTTTTTTAAAAATATTATAAAATATCTGCCAGGAAACCTTTCAGATTTTTTTCAGACTATTAATATTTACTGAACTGCAATTGTAAATAGTACAGAAATGAGTCAATTTTAGGATTAGTATAAAACAATTTAGTATTAAATAAATAAATAAAGGGTGAAGTTAAGTTTGTGGAAGGGAAAATTGGTAGACTTTGGCGTCGGTAAAATGATATGTGAAAAGTATAAATTATGAAATACATTTATAGATCCATATGGCTTTAGTAGTTCGTAAAATTTTGTCTGGTTTAAGTAATCAGGTAAAAAACAACCTATTGTTGTATATATCAACCTTTTTTAAAAAAATTTTCTGAAATGTTATTTGGTTTTTTAAAAATATTATGAAATATCTGCCAAGAAACCTTTCAGATTTTTTTCAGACTATTAATATTAGCTGAGCAGTAATTGTATAGAAATGAGTCAATTTTAGGATTAGTATAAAACAATTTAGTGTTAAATAAATAAATAGAAGGTGAAGTAAAGTTTGTGGTAGTGAAAATTGGTAAACTTTGGCGTCGGTAAATTGATAAGCGAAAAATTTAAAAATTCTCAAATATATTTCTAGATCCGTATGCCTTTGCCATTTCGTAAAATTGTGTCTTGCTTAAGTAAAAAAGCAACCTATTGTTCCGCCAATATTAATAGTATCAATTCCTTGGAAAATTTTCTGAGAGGTTATTTGGTTTTTTTAATATTACGAAATATCTGCCAGGAAATGAGATTCAGATTTTTTTCAGACTATTAATATTAGCTGAGCAGTAATTGCGTATAGTACAGAAATGAGTCAATTTTGGTATTGGTATAAAAAAGTCATTAATTAAAGTTATTAATTAAATAAATAAAAGGTCAAGTTAAATTTCTGGTAGAGAAAATTGATAAACTTTGCCGTCTGTAAAATGATTGGGAGAAATTTAAAAATTGTTAAATGCATTTTTAGATAACGCCAATGCTTACTAGTACAAATTTTGCCTGGTTTAAGTAATCCATTAAAAAATATAAAAATTTTACTAGCCTAATTTTATGTGGTAAATAGTAAATAAATACATAGATCGTCAACTTTATTAGTAATACACAAATTCAGTAATAAATAAGTTTGTGGAAGCAAAAATTGGGAGTCTTTGGCGTCTTTAAAATGATTGCGAAACATTTAGTAATTTTTAAAATAACAAGATAAGCTTAAAGCTTGGTGGGTTTGAGTACAAATTTTTTGTCTGGTTTAAGTAATCCGTTAAAAAAATGTAAAATTTTACCAACCTAATTTTATTTATAAAAAAAGTTCGTAAAATAATACTAATTATTTATTAATAGTAGACAGATGAGTACAATAAACTTGAGTAAAATTTTTTTTTTAAATGTTAAATGAAGTTAGTGGAACTGAAAATTGGTAGACTTTTTTGTCTCTAAAATGATTGAAAAATAAATTTTTCAATGATTTTTTTTATTTAGATCGAATTGAGTTTCCAGTCCCAATAAAATTTTGGTTGTGTTAAGGAGTCCGTTTAAAAATATATACATTTTAACCAACCTAATTTTATATAGTGTTTTCATAAAATTTAGTACTAAATAAATCGGTGAAAGGGAAAGTTGCTAGGCTTTTGCGACTCTAAAACGATTTCGAAAAAGTTATAAATTCATAAAAACATTCTTAGATACTTGGGCCCCGTATGGATGCTAAAATTTGGCATGGTTAAAGTATAGTAGTTCGTTAAAATTTAAAAATATATATATATAACTTTAAACCACCCTAATTGTATATAACATTTAAATAAATGAGAAATTTTAGTATAAAAAATTACTATTAAATAACTCAGGTAGTTAAAATCGCTAGACTTTGACGTCTCTAAAACGATTTCGAAAAAATTTATAAAACTAAAAACATTATTAGATTATTGGGACAAATAGCCGAAAATTTGCAAATAGTAGTTGAGAAAATAATAATAACAAATATAAATTTGAACCAACCTAATTTTATATAAAATTTAAATAAATGAGAAATTTGAGTGTATGAAATTTTGAAATATGTTTTTAGATGTCAAATTTGGAATTGCGGTCCATTCAGAAATATATATATTTTTACCAACCTAGTTTTATCTAGTACATATTAAATGCGTCAATTTTAATATATAAAAAATCAGCATTAAACAAATCGGTGGACCGGAAATTGCTAGAGTTTTCGAAAAAGATTACTAAAAATTTCTGAATTTTCAGATAAATCATTTACAAACTACATTGACACATCATTTATGTACAAATTTTAACCTTTAAAATTGTTATCTGGTTTAGTCAGTCGAAAAAAATATAGATTTTTTTAACCTACCTAAAAAACATGAGTCAACTGTAGCTAGTCATAAAAAAATAAAAAATCGTCATTCCCATTTTTCGTGACTAATTGCTTCCGCCCGTCGTTCCCAAAATAAAAAAATAAAAAACTACCTGTTTATGTATGCCAAAGCTTATCAAATCTCTCGGCAAGGTTTATTTATATAAAGTCGTAAAAAAGAGGAGATTTTCGTCTCGATCAAGTTGAACGTACGTATTTAACACAGCGCCGTATTCATTTCATTACAAATACGCTTTTATATTTCATCTCTGAATCAGTGGCCGCGGAAGGTGTGGGGACATCGGGGGACATTAACATTGTAGGATGGGGGGAAGGAGGGGTTTATATAAGATGGGAAGATGATAGGGACATCGTATAACCGTGGGGACATTGTCCCTCTGTCCCCACGCACCCTTCCGCGGCCACTGTCTCTGATTTTAGAGAGAAGAGAAGAAGGCAGGAAGTTCATGTTCTTCTGTCTGTGAGTGAGTGCAGCTATTATCTTAATCTTATTGGCATATTGACATCGAAGAAATGCAATGCAGCTGCAGTTTTTAACACTTAAAAATACCATCCATCCATTCAGTTCAGTATTGCGTACAATTTTGTGGCGTGGTTTTGGCGTGTTGTGTTGGCAGTTATCTATATTACTGCGAAAAAATACTAGGCAGTTATCAATCTAATACTTTCATTCATGTTACATACTTTACTTTGCTAACCGTCGTTCTTATCATTATCATTAAGTGTTCTTGGCAATGAATTTGGTTTCTTGTATGTACATACATATACAACTGTTTAATACACGTGCATTTCCGCAAAAAGTAAGCCAACAGAGCAAAACAGGCAGCAAATCAGCAACCCATTTAATTTTATAATTTCTACAAGTTGCCGTTTTGTTTCGTGTCATCCATCCGCTCAGTTTAATTTAATATGCGACATCATTCTTTTGTTGTTATCATCACCAACATTTCAATCCGACCGACACCCTGCTGCATATTTACAGGGCAGGTGGTGGCTTGGTTTTTCATTTAGATAAAACAAAACAAACAAAAAATGTGCTAAAAATTATGTACGCTAAGTAACTACATTAAATATTTAATAATTTAGCACAACAATAATTTTGTAATAAGAAGACCGACCGACGAATGATAATAAAATTATGGCAGAGTTTAAAACAAACTTTTTTACGAAATGGTGTCTTATTAAGGTTACGTTCGAAGACGTAGTTGTCTCAAAAAATCATCGAGTAAATTAAATTGTGCAAAATTTGTATCCCGCTTAGGACTTTGAGTTACATTAGCCGAATTAGCCGAATCATTTTATTATTTAGCATCAGTTATTTTTATTTTGGCGTTTGCCAAAATAAAAATAACTAGTGTAAAATAATAGGATAATTCGGCTCATTCGGGTAATGTAATTGCGGATCCAGTACTTCGTTCAGGTGGACGGACTCGACTAATCACAAGATTTCCCATACTTTTACATACATAAATACACAGCAATATTCATAAATTTCAAACTAATTTATCGAGACTTGGAAATCGAATTTCGAAATTCTGCCCAGTGAAGTTATAGACAATAAGCTGATTAATGAGATCCCCTTGAAATTTTTCAATTTCTACAACCCAATTTTGCTGAGGTACAAATTGAGTATAACAGGTGGTCTTATGCTTTTTACATACTTTTTGTACCTCAGCTTTCAAAAACCACTGAAATATTGAATCTCTTCTTCGAGTAGGACAACAACAATATTATCTATAATATCAATGGGCAGAATTTTCAAATTCCTTCTGGTAGCTGAGAAATAATTAAAAATGTGCTGATTTTTGGGGTTATGACGTCATTGTTATGACGTAGGCTTTGACTCATGGAGTCTCACGTTAAGTTTCTCTCTCTCTCCAATTTCAACTTTAAATGAAAATGTTTCTTCATGGTAGAGTACAAAATTAATACCAAAATTCGAGAAGCTGACACGACACGATAAAGCCAAGCTGATAGGCCACGCAGTACATTACATTACATTACATCGTCTGTTCTTTCTTTGCGTGCCTGAAATTTGGTAGAATATAGTGTCGAAGAAATACATGTTACTCTTGATAGTGCCATAATAAATATGACGTATAAATTACTTTGGGTATGTACATAAAAATTGTGTATCTATGTACATAGCAAGTAGCATAGAATACATACAGAAATGCAGCAGTTAGTAGCATGCATGGCAGTACATATGCACGTACATAAGGAAGAAAAGTTGAAGTTAGCTTAAAAGAGATGACGAAAAGACCTTGACTTTGCTTTCGGTAACTTTTTGGTTGATTAAATTTGACTCATCGCGTTACTTACTTTACAGTAAAGTTCGTTATAAAGGAGCACACGAGGTTTTTAGCTTTATTACTCAGCTCAGGTAGTCCTCGGCACTAATGGAGTGAATCATTGTTCAAGTCAAGAGTTTGTTCATCTCATCATTCTCATCTCAATTTTCATCCAAAATCCGAAACCAAAGTGCGACGCAGGAAATAAGTAAATTATTTGTGGACACATAATCTAGAAAGTAAATTATTTGTGGGAATATTCCCCCCCAGAAATCTCTTTGATTTTAAAATAATTGTGAAATAATGCAATTTTCGACGCAGGAACTAAGTAAATTATTTGTGGGGACAGAATCTAGAAATCTCTTTGATTTTAAATAATAATTGTGAAATAATACAATTTTCGACGTTTTCCTTTTACAGGATTTGTCACTCTGGACGTTATTGTCGTGCTCAATTAATTGTTAAATTACACGTGTGCGGATACTTTTAATTGGATTTCGCCATCATCATTCCCCAGAAAATCAGGACATGACGGTGACATTTTAATTTTCGATTGGCCAGACAAAGACCAAACCAAACCACGATTGGATTACAATTACTTCATGTCAGATGAAGGGTGTCAGATCCAAATAATGAGATTACAACACGGGAACGGGAACCAGGACGAATAATAAGCTTTGTCACTTCCGGTCTTAACATTTATGTACGATACGCAGTGAACAATAATATAATAATGTGTCTACTTTAGTGAATAACTAGATAGGTAGAATTTTTATTACCAAGGTGTGTGTGGCGTGGCGTGTGTGGTGTGCCACGTGTGAATGGTATCGAGTGGGGGGGAACGATGCGGGGGAATAAAGCGACCCTGTCGGGATGGAGGATAACGACAACAATACTGCTGCTTTTCGTCGTAGGGGGAGGATTACTTGTCAGTGGTCACGATGCTGGTAAGATTTTGGAGATTTTGTTTTCGTTAAAAAATATGTATGTGATAATTATTAGATGAAACCTTTAACGAGATGAATTTGATGATGAATGACGGACAGCAGAAGACGCTACGGGTTTCATAAGTCAGAGTTTATGGTGTGGTGGGTGGTCTGATATGATATGCTTCTGTTCTGTCGTAAATATTTCTATACGGAATGAAATTCTAGACCGGATTTTATAGCAGGGTGAATTTTGATTAACTTGCGTTATTTTATTTTTTTTTTCGATTCAAATAAATTTAGGGAATTTCAACCCTTTATTACATATATTTAAGATTAGTTCGTACAATGAGAATTCCAAACACAACTATTCTAAAAAAAAAACGGAATAATCATCATACAAATGCAGCTATAATTAGGCCATGATTTAAAATATGCCGAAAACTTAGAGATATAATTTCGTATTTCATTCATTCACGAAAAACTGAAAGAAATGGCTTTATATGATAAGGAAATAAGAAGATTCAGCCTAACCTGACACCTAAGTTGTTGACATACCCACGACGCCAGGTAATGGGTTGGGATCCTCCCTGGGGCTGTGGGTATGTCAACGCGTCCCTAACCTTACCGATGCCAAGTGCTAGGAAATGACTGAAAATAAAGAACCTTCCCAACCCGGGTACGCTCGCATTTTTTGAAATTTCTATAGGTTCTTTAAAAGAATTTAGGAAAGATGTGCCAAATGCAACTTAATACAAGAAGTAAAATTACATGCTAATTACAGTTTAGTCTCCCACGGCGGTGGATCTTCTTGGGAGGAGGACTTTACTTGTGTCATCAGGGGTAGGAATTAAACACTGCCTCTGACTCACTCTGCTTCATGACCACGTTATTTAGTACAATGACAAGTCAATAAATAATTCTTAGGAAGAGATTTGTAGAATAATACATGCTTATGTAAGAATATTTTAACTACCTGAAGGTGGGAAATTTTATCAAAATATTATTTTAAATTGAGATTAATGTTTATTCTATTGTTGATCATAGTGTATAGTTTATATTTTTTCCATTTTCGATGGAAATTGTCCATCAAAACTTTCCCACCTCGCATGCAAACATGGAATTCAGACAATATTCGTCCGAAAACCATGTGCCTAAAGTGGGACAAATAATCAAAATTGTCCCCAAAGTGATTTAGAAATTGAACATAGGACTTATATATCGTGCAAAGACCATAATAAATAAATATATTATCGTACTTCATATTTCGAGACCCATTAATCCCTGATCGAGAGACATTAGTCAGGTCTCTGCTGAGAATTTTTGAAATAAAAAGCCAGAGGGGCTGAAAATGGATACATTTAAAATAATGACTAGATTTTATATCTTTAAATGGACAAAAGGGGCAATCCCTACCCTCATGTATGCCCATTGACTCAGCCATTTTTGGCGTTAGACCAGTATTGTGCAAAAGTTTATAAATTACGTCTTTCTCTGGATTACTCACCTCGCTTTTTTGAAGGGTAAGCCAGGCGGAATTATTTAAGGTGTCGAGTGATACCTCAGACCATTTTATTTTTCGCACAATACGAGTACATAGTAAATACTGCTTGGTTTTCACAAAAGATTCAAACTCACCCCCGTTGCCGTATTTTAGGCATCGAAATGTGATACACTCTTGAGATAGTACATAAGTGTCAATAATATTACGCAAAATACTACTCTCACAAGAAATTAACCTTTGAGATGGAAAGCGAGGCATGTTTTGGGAAAAATCGAAACTAATAAAATCCTCAATGGTTTCACACCCCAATTGAATTAAACATGGAAAACTATTATTTTTCAAAAAAATTGAATTACTAAGCGGGATAAGGTGAAAAATATTGTGAGGGATTAGTTCAAAACTGAGACCAAGTATTTGTACATATTTGCAAAAATTGTCATAAAAAGAAGTACAATAATCTGGTTCATTCTTTAGGAGAATGTTGAAAACATTTTTACCTGCAAAGTTACAAAAATACGAGTCGCTCGAATTTAGGACTTTGCATGCAAACACTACACGAAAAGTTGTCATCTGGATAAACGGATGACGCACACCAATCCCCCCATTTGCCAGAGGCAAATAGAGTAGATGGCGTCCCACCCAACGTTTTGATCCTCTCCAGAGAAAGTTTTCAATTAAGATAGTAATTTCTGTTATAAAAGTTTCCGGGGGGTCAAGAACCTTGAGTACATACCACAGTATTGGGAGAAGGTACGTATTCAAAATTTTAGCCCTTGAAAAAAAACTAACTGCGCAAGTTTTACTGTTATAAAAAGATAACTTCCTACAAAATTTTTCAAACAATAAGGTAAAATTTTGTTCCATGAAACTTGTATTCCCAAAAAATATACCCAGAATTTTTAACCCATCCTTTCTGGTGGGGAAATTGGTCTCTACCCAAGTAGTCCCCCCTAACTTGCGTTAATTGGAGGGTGGATTCGGCATTAATTAGTCAGTCAGACCTGACGGACACAAAAATCACTACTGTTTTAGGAAGAGCCAATCAATCAGCTCACAGTTCATCCTTAATTTTAATTTCATCTCCGGACATGTACATAATTCAGGTTTTTGCATTGTATACATGCCCTTTTCTTTGATAACGATGACAAGAATTTCATCTCCGGACAAGCAATTCTTGTTTTGCATTTCTTTTAATGATAACAAGATAATAAGACAAGAACCGTTTAGGGATAAGATAAGAATTTGTACGAAGGAATTAATTTTCTAGTCCAAACCAAATCTCACTTTTCTCTTATCGGGCATTTAATTAATGATGATGACACAACGAGAACGACGACTTCTGGACCAAATACCAAAACGAACGAGCTGATAACACCAAACTTGGTAAATACAATAATAATACATAAATAACCTGGCTAGTGGTTTGGCTACATGGATTTGGAGATAAAACTTTTCTATCTATTGTATAACTTGAACAGTGGCCGCGGAACAGAGGGACAATGTCCCCACGGTTATTTGATGTCTGCATCATCTGCCCACGTTATATAAACCCCTCCCTCACCCCATCCTGCAATGTTAATGTCCCCAGATGTCCCCACGGCTTCCGCGGCCACTGATTAATTGCACGGGCATAACATACTTTTACGCAGTGGCCGCGGAAGCTGTGGGGTCAAAGTGACCATGTCCCCACGGTTATTCGATGTCCCCATCATCTCCCCATCTTATATAAACCCCTGCCTCCCCCATCCTACAATGTTAACGTCCCCACATGTCCTCATATTTCCTTCCGCGGCCCCTGTTTTTTATGAAATATTAGTCTCGTCTTTCTCCAATGGTTATTGGATTTGTTGTCCCCGATTCATTTATATCCATCTTGTTTCTCTGGACCAATTTGTTGTATCGTCGGCCTCGTCGTCGTCGTCCCATCTGTTTTATCTCCGTAATAAATCCGGACATCGTTTCCATTTCATTTCTGGTATGTGTTATATACACTTTTGCTTTGGTTTGGTGGTGGTTTGCGCTAATGGAAATTCTGCTGCCCACCAGACAGACAGACATCGCATTACTTTTAGTTCAACCCATCGTCCAAGTCGGTCGGTGGACGATGGCGATTGTTTGTCCAGTTCTCAGTTAAGTAAACTAAACCAGTAAAAAAACAGGGATAGCGAAAGTAAAGGCAACAAGATGAGGCGAACGAGGTGAATGTTCTGACGTATGTGTGGGAGTACAGATATTTACACAAAATCCATTTTGAATGGATTTTTTTAGGCAGAGGTCGGCGGAGCAAGAACCTCAAAATTTAAATTTCGCCTTCCACAAAAATTTGCATGTCATCACATCAAAGTGCACGGCAAGCCGCTGGAATTTTGGGTGTTGCACCCTCCACAGAAAATTTTGCATTCCATAAAAATTTTGCATCCACCGACACATCGCCACATCAAATTAAATTTTGGAGGAAATTTTGCCTACCATAAAAATTTCGCCTGCGTCAAAGTGGAGGTCAAAAACCCCGAAATTTTGGATATTATATCCTCCACCAGAAATTTTTAAGCTACACAAAAATCTATTCATTAACCTCCATAAAAATTTCGCCCTCCATTTCCACCTCTACAAGTCCCGCCGAACCCTGTAGGATTTGGGCCTAGCACTTTTTTTTGCAAATGTGTAATCTTTCATTTTTGGTCACGGATCACTTTACTTTTCCCAAATAAAATTCACGAAATAATGGATGTAAAACTGTTCTGTAAGTGAACACATATTGCAAAATTGTGTAACAAAATAACGGATTACATAAATTCCCGTGTTATATTACATTTTACATTTCATTTCATTTCATAACTGTCACATGCATAATACGCAAGAGAAACAATAAAAAATTGGCGAAAGTAAAATTAAAATAAAAGCAATCACCAAGAACAGAGTAGAAACTGGGACATTTTTTCTCCGTGGGTGGGTGGGATTGGATAATATTAACAAAAGTAAGTAAAAAACAGGGCCTTAAAAGATGAGAATAAATGGTTTGTACGAATCAGTGGCCGCGGAAGCCGTGTGGGGACATCGGGGGACATTAATATTGTAGGATAGGAGAGGGAGGGGTTTATATAACATGGGGAGATGATGCGGACATCGAACAACCGTGGAGACATTGCCCCTCTGTCCCCACCCACCCTTCCGCGGCCACTGTTTCTACAGAGTTCTTCGTCTTCCCCTGGAGGGAGAATTTACTTAACTGTAAGCCATGCAAATCCTTTAAAAAACACCGGAAAAGGATTATTAGTCAAAGTCTTTATTCCAAGAAATGGATAAGGAGGGACACGTCGTCAACTGCGAAATAAATGAAACATTTTTGCAAGATTACCATAAAAATGGGAGAGAAATCCTATTGCATCCTGGTAAAGATATCAACTGTTACGTACTTTGCTCCCGGGTAGTTGAGAATGGCAAACCTGAAGGTTAAACTTGCTCTTATCGAATAGCTCAATTTCAATTTAACCCAAGATTCTAGGCATGATAAGAG